GCTTGCTTGAAGAAATGATGGTAAACACTAGCATGTTGATTAGACTGTAAGGGGGAGGGGAGGCACATTTAAAATAAAGCATTCAAATAGATCCTAGAGAAAATGGCCTCAATGTAATTAATTGTATGGTGTTAAATAGATCAGCACAAGTCTTGAATGAACCAGCAGGGTCATTCAAAGGTCAGTGTGGGAATAAAACTGCACAATGGATGGGGAAACAACATGTGGTTTAGGGCCGTGACAAGAGAGAAAGGGAGGAATCAGCATGTCATTCAGCTGAGATAGTTCTGACATCCGTGCACATTCATTAAAACAAATGAGAAGCCTAATTGTTATAAGGGATACCGTGGACTGATTTCAGTATACCAAATCACATGCCAGAAGAGAAGTGGAGAACCGCTAGCTTTGCTGCTGCATTGGTCAAATAGTTTGCAATGCAAACAAAGGATACAGAATGTAGACAGGATTTACCTTTGCTCTCTTGAGCCAAATGTGATTCCTTACCATAAGGAATTTGCTGACTTCAGGGTGAAGCCGAGATCGTACACAGAGTTCTTAGCATTCGCACACAGCTATCTGCTGTAAGGAAGCTACCAGCGTCTCATCAGATTGGCGGGTTTCAGGCATCACATTTGAGACTCATATTTTGGGGTTCATTATCCACATTTCAGTCTTTGGCCCTGAAAGGGAATGGCATCCTGCTGAGATGGCCATCTTATTCTGATCACCTTCCATGTTCAGAGCATGATAATACTTCATTCTCTGACTTCTGTTGGAATGCACATATAATGCTGTAGCATATAGAATGATCCACTAGGGTTGTTAAATAACTGGGGCCCACATCGTGTTGCATAGTTACACCTGCAGAAGGTAAACACCTTAGCCCACAGTGGCTGGCTGCTGCCAATTAACTAGTGCACTAGTCCAGTGCTTTGAGGTGAGTCCAAAAATCTTGGACCCCTTAATTGACAGCAAGAAACTGCTGAAAACTACACCATTTGCCCTCTACAGCTATACAGATCTTGTCCTATAGATATTTGTCATTAGAGCAGATCAGAGGGTGAGCATAGAGGGTTACAGTCATGTGATAACATCTGTACATTTTAACACAGAGTTGAGGAACTTGTGGACCTCCAGATTTGTTAGATTTCAATTCCAAAAGGGTGAAGCCACCTTGGCCAGTTGTAAGGGATTATGGGAATTGCCATTGTCTAAACCAGTGGTCCCCAACCTTGGGCCTCCAGATGTTCTTGGACTTCAACTCCCAGAAATCCTGGCCAGCAGAGGTGGTGGTGAAGGCTTCTGGGAATTGTAGTCCAAGAACTTCTGAAGGCCCAAGGTTGGGGACCACTGGTCTAAACCATCTGGAGGCCTACAGGTAGAGATAATAGCAAAATTTCCCAGTAACTCTTGTGGCTGGTGCTGACAAGCATGGCAGGCTGTGGAGAAGCTGATATGAGAGCAAACCTTCAAGATGACACTACCACACAATTCTTCACTTACTTCAAAATGTACTTCCCTCAGAGAGTCTGTGGAGTATGACCACAGAAAAAGCACAGCCAGCCAGCCCAACACAGTCTGAGCACACAAGAATAGCCCTAAATGTTTTTCTGCCTGAGGGAGATGATAGCATGATGCCTCTCTGCTTGCCCAATTTCACGTACGAAAGCTGATCAGACTGAATATGAATCATTCCCTGCCCCCAAAACTGGCAGCAGAACAGCAGCCTGCACAGCACCCAAGGACAGCCAGATAGCACAATGGATGCAGGACAGGCTACACATGCATTTCGATCTCTTCTGAGACCTTAAGTAGCTGCCACCTGAGGAGGCACTTCAGTTTAAGAGTTGTAGCTAGCCTTGCATGAACAGATGTTGCAGTAGTTATAGCTAGCTAACCATGTTGTAGTTAGGGTTATTGGGTACATGGTACAACATGCAGTCAAATTCTCAAGCTCAGAGACTTGGTGCTTGTGTGCATGAGCTACTGTACATGGCACCAGAGTTCGTTTTCTAGCCTCAAAAGGAAATGTTGCCACTGATTAATATTTTAAAAATCTAGCAGCTCATTTGATTTTCCAGTTTTTCCATATAAATTGAAGTAATTGGCCCTGAGGTAGAAGCCCTGGCTGAGCTAGTCTCCCTCCCTCCCTTGCCTTTTTGTTGTGTATAATGTTATAATAATATCCTGCTGTCTGAATCTCAAGAGTGATGCCATCCAAACAAACATGAGTACAATGAATACTCAGGGGTATATTTAGTCATGTACGATCTCTGGGACACCTTTGTATAGATTTGTTGTTGTTGTTGTTGTTGTTGTTGTTGTTGTTGTTGTTGTTGTTGTTGTTGTTGTTGTTGTTGTTGGGATGACACTCTCCCCATTGGAATTCTAGGAAGACTGGTAATAAAAGCTTTCTGATGGGCAAAAATTTGTAAAACGGACACATGTTTTACACTGCCACCTAAAGACTCCGCGTGAAGTAAATGGATTTTCTTGGAGACTCTTCCTTGTATTACAACTGCGATTGAAGTCTGCTTGCTTAGGATGTGAGAAAGGCTTTCGAGGTGGCTGCACCTAGATTGTTGAAGGCTCTTCCAGGAGAGATCCCTCAGTGTCTTTTCTTTTCAATGTTTAGCTTAAGACTTTTCTAATCTGCTACATTGACCTCACCTGTTGAATGCACTGTCTCCCTTTAAGTGCTATTTAGTTTTTTGTGTTGGGGGAAATAATCTCTGCTGGAATTTGTGTAAAAAATTATTTAGTTATTTTCATGCTGATTTTCAAGGCTAGAACACTCCTTTCAAGGTAATTCACAACATAAAATCACAATTAAAGAGGTTGAAGTCAGTTATAACGATTTCATGTCATAACCTAAAAACAATTCATTTCAAGGTCTGCAGTAATAAAGTAACAGTAATTACAGCTACAACTGAAGTGCATGGATGAGTATTCTTGTCTTTTACAAGCAACAGTGACATTTGTTGTCTTTATTACCTAATGAAAGCAGATATAAACAACTGTATATTTAAAGGGAAGTCAAATGCAGTTCCTGTGATATGGAATTTTTATGGTAATGAAGCCATCACTGAAAAGGTCTTGTCTACCAGACAACATGGCCTCCCTAACCCAAAATGTCTGGGAGAGCCAAGTATGGATAGGTCGCCATTGAAATAAGTTGGCTTTAAGCAGTTTAGCACCTGAAGGATAGCAACCAGCACTTTGAGTTTAACTTAAAGGACACTAGCAGGAGTTCAGCTGGTGCAGAATGATAGGAATGCACTCATGTTCTCTGGCAAACAGATTGTTTGACAAGCAGGTGGCCAACTACTTTCTGTGCCAAACTATTCTCAAGTAAGTGCATATAAGATCGTAACTGAAATGTAACTAAACTCTTTAGCACCTAACAGCAAAAACAGAATGCTTGCACTAAGGCTAGTTTAGTAAAAACTAAGTCATCATATGGAATCCAGATGATACGGCTGAACCTGTTCACATACATAGATGAATGTTAAAAAAATCTACCTTTGATAGACATTAAATATTAAAGAATTGTTTAACCAAATGTTAAATACAGTGGTGCCTCGCTTAACGAGTGCACCATATAGCGATGTTTCCGTATAGCGATCCCTTTTTCGGGATCGCTATACGGAAACATCCCCGATAGTCGCAATGGGGAAAACCCGCATTGCGAAGATCGGGTATTGCGGCGGCCATTTTGGGGCCGCCCCACCACGGATGGCTGCCAGCAGCCGTTTTCGCGCCCTGCCCTCGCTTAGCGAAGGCGCGAAAATGGCTGCCGGCACCTGGAATCCTCGCTGAACGGGTAAGTAACAAAGGTATTGGAACGCATTAAACAAAGTTTAATGCGTTCCAATACATTTCCCCTACCCGTTTAGCGACAATTTCGTATAGCGAAGGTTAATCCGGAACGGATTAACCTCGCTATGCGGGGCACCACTGTACTTTATCTGTCCCATTGACCTAATGAAATTGTGAAACAAATCTACCTGGCTAACTAAAAAAAAAAACAAAACATGTGTTGCAGAGTGCAGAAACTTCCATTCTGTTCAGTGACACTTATTCCCTATGAGTTGCTTAGGAAAATTTAATCTTACACAAGCTTTGCTTTGGATAAATTGTGTGGTTTTCTTTGTATTACTGACAAACTAGCATTTTGAGCCTTCTGAATGAATTGTTTTCTACCCCTGCTGCACTGTTTACCAAGTGTCACTACAAAAGTTTGGGCAATATGAAGTATTCCCCAAAAGCTCAATTATGTGTATATTTTTATTGAAAATATTATTGAAAGTTGGCTTAGCAGAACTGGGTAACATTTGGACCTGGGCTAGCGTGAGATGCTAATTTAAGATGAGGTTGTCCAGCTGCAGCCATTCAGATGATGCCAGACTGGAACTCTCTGCAGCCCTAGCTGAGGTGAGGAATCATGCCATCAACATCTGGAGGCTCTCATTATGAATATTCCTTGAATCAAGAATTTTTGAGGAACAGTCTTGTCTCTTTCTCTGCACTCCCAGGCAAGGAATAAGAGGAAGAAAGGGAAGAGATAGCCAAAAAAAAAAAAAAAAAAAAAAAAAANAAAGAAAGGGGGGAAAAGATGGTGGGAGGAGAAATAAGAGATAGCTGATTCCTTTTGGGTAATGCATCCATCCAGCAGTGGCTTCAACTCCATCCACAACTGGCATATGCTCCCTTAACAGATTAGCCATTAAGTAGTTTGGCTCTTGACAGAGAAAACAAAGTTCCTCAGCCTTGGGATAAACCTTACACATAGAGAAAAACAGTATGTCCTGAAAGGCTACAGTATGTCCTGAACAGCTGCAAGAAAAAAACATGGAAGGAAGAGAACAATATACCAGAGGACATACTAGCAGAGCAGGTGAGACCGCAGAAGAGGAAACAGGTTAGTTTTATTCTTAGGCAGAAAGAGTTTTGAGCTCAAAAGAGAGCATTTATCCTACACAGTTATCAAGATCTTTCTTCTAGGTGTGATGCCAGAGAGTGAGTCAGACAAGGCAATTGATTGACAAAACACATCACTGCCTGGACAGGAGGAGGCCCCAGAATAGAAACAAAGGAAGCTGCTTTCATACAGTAAGTATACTTTCACAGCATAGGTTTGTAGGGAGGTCCAGGTATCGTGGTGGAGGTCTTCGAGCCACATTACATGATGGTGTTGGTTAAGATCCTCAGGGTCTAGGAGGGTAGAAGTGCCTCTGGTACTTAAAACAATATCCAGGAAATAATCCCAAGGCTGTGTAATGATTTTTTTTTTTTAACTGCAGCAGGCACTCACATTGACATACTTTTACCTTAGTGACCTAAGGCTGTTAAACATTTATCCCTACACTTTCGCTGTGTTGTAACAAATTGCTGCCATTGAGAAGATGTGCCACTGAAACACATATGTACATACACAAACAGAAACACACATAGACAACTTTGAAGACTTGGACATTTGATCCTTATTTTGGGAGCCACACATCCATTTCTACTTCAAGCAACTACTAACATAATAGTAAACTGTTTAAAATGAAACAAAAATCATGAAGACTTTGCTTTGAACTTGAATAAATAACTTACTATTTGCATTCTACTATGTGATTGAATATGCCTCCGACTGATATTAGGACTATGGATCTTTTGCTATTTGTCTAACTGTTGCTAGGTAGTCTGGATTATATCCCAATCTCTAGACTTATTTTTTGCTTCTTATACCGGTAATTGAGAGGGTGCTAATTTTGCACTATAACTCTGCAAATCAAACTTGGGTTTAAAATTATTGCTCACAACAGAGACTTTTCTGAACTACGGTTTCCAGATTACTTGGATTAGCAGGGCCACACTATCTTGGAATTCTGAGAATTATGGTAATTTCCCACCAGCTCTGCACAAAATAATACTCACTGATAGCAAGAAGGCTACACAAAGTGTTCCTCTTATGAACTCCAGAGAGCTATTAAAGACCTTGAGACAGCCCAATTGGTCATGTCCAGGAAACCTCTCATCCCTTGGGAAGAAGAGTATTGAATTATCTGCTGGTTAGTCTATTGGGACCAATACAGGAAAGCTTCATTATATACTTGTTCAAAAACTCAGTGAGCTTGTGTTCATATAGCCTAAACCATATACATTTGTTGAAATCATTTCAAAGAGAGCATCAATCCCAGGACCAAGATTTTTTTTTTGGCTGCTTTCATTCTGATGGTTTCTGAGCCTATGGTGAAGGATAAAGGGTATATACTTTGTATTCACGAAGGCTTTCACGGCCGGGATCTAATGGTTGTTGTGGGTTTTTT